CAGAAGAATCTGAATTCAAAGGCAGACTTGTACAGAGTATTTTGTCTTGGAAATGTGCAAGTCTTGGCTTTACTTTGCTTCTATGAAACATGTAAAAACTGTACCATATGTACTTTACTGTTGTGTAGTTTTCTTAAATAATTTTAGCGTGCCAGCTTTAATGTCATAAGAGCACATTTATTTTAAAAAACATTTTTGATATTTTGAGTACTACCGAGACATAAGGCATTTGAAGTCTTTCTCCAAATGCAAAGAACTTTTATTTCTTTCTGAGAAATCTAGAGATCGTGAACATATTGGCCTGCTGACAGTGGAAGATAGACATATTTTTCACGTAATTAGAAAAATCGGGTTCAAAACTTTTCTAAGTGTCTTCATTCTGTTACTAGATAACACTACTTTCTTGTCTTTCACAAAACGCGTTTGTTTTTCTCCCTGTTGTTGCTTCTCGTATGTCTTTCTCAGAGAGTGAAGAGCTTTCTAACAGGGACGTTTGGGTAGAGTACAGGAGACACTGCAAAAGTAGATCTAGAAGAGTATTAAAAGTTAGCAAAGGAGGAAGGAGAAAAAGGAAGAAACACCAGGATTTAAGTAGCAGACACATGTCCTAGAGTCATTCTCTATCTCACCAGAAACTGCTGTGAGGAAATGAAATTCATTCTTATAAGAAAATAGAGTACACCGGGTTTGAATCCCAGATGATGTTTTAGTGGGGGCATTAAGTCCGCACTGTGATGCCCAGTGATGGGACCACTCAATTAGCAGCAAGTTAACTGAAGGCCCCAGCCATGTTTCTTGTGACTTGGAATCATTTAACCTTCCTGAAACCTCTACATTTTTTTTTCCTTATTGTTAGACATTTACAGAGTATTATGGGCTAAATCTTTACAGTGTTAGGTCTATTGGGATGGAAGCAGGAACCTCAATCTGTAGGTTATACTGTAGTATAAAGTTAAATGAAAGTTAAAGTAACTGTAGAAAGTTAAATGAGTGGTTGATTTTTATAACTTTGAGGAAAAATAAAGATATTGCATGTACTTAAGTTTCCTGTAAGTACCCCTAAATCTGTGCTATACTAGGATACGAAGTGCCTCCAGGTTTAAATATATTGACTCTCAGCAACCTCTTATTTATCTTAAAAAATGTAGTGAGAACTAGAGACACTCTAAAATTAGCCGTAGTTGGTATAAAGATGGCAACTACATGTCCTCCAATAGACTAATGGATGAAATTAAAATTATATGTGATGGACAAGCACGAGAGTAAGAAAACTGGGGGCAGTAGGGGGACCTTTTTTTGTGCTTTATGACAGAGTGAGCACGTGGACTGAAGTGTGTGGCTTGGATTGAAGTGTGTGGCTTGCAGAATACTGAGTGAGGCCCAATCTGTACTTGTGGATCCACAGATTTTTCTGCATCTTTTCATATTAGGTAGTTCTTTCCCATGTGTGGTCTACAAACAACGTTTTGATGTAAAAACTAGCTGTACGGTTCTGGAGGGAACCCCTTGATGGATGTTCGTCAGCCACTGCTTGTGGCTGCCTCCCTGTGGAGTGTGCTGTCTGCAGATGTGGTGGGGGCTTCAGGAGCACCTCTCAGCCTGCAGAAATACCACAATCAAAGCAGCCTTTCCCCTTGATTGATCTTCAGCTTTTATTCACTGTTGTCACAGATTTTGGAGTTGTTTATCCTGCTGAGATTCTATAATAATAAACTTAAAGGGTACCTCTGTGAAAATGAAATTCTAATTTCTTATAACATTCTAATTGTTAATTAGCTTACAGTTTGCTTGCAATGTTTGGTTTGCTGAAGCCTTTCTTCCTTTTTTCTTTCTTTTTTCTTTCTTCTTTTCTGTCTCTCTCCTTCCCCTCTCCCTTCCTCCCTCTCTCTTCTCTTCCCTCTTCCTGTCTCTCTCTTTCTCTCTCCTGCCACCCTTTCCTGTTGTGGATCACAGTGTCGTTTGAGAGGCTCAGTTCTGTACTTCTGCATTCAATTTGGTCGTTGGCAGCCAAGTCAGGGTTCTAGCTTTCTTAGCACGAGAATAAAATATGTATTCCCAGTTTTCATTGAATATGGCAAGTTATGAGCATGGGGAAACACTGTTCAATTTGTTTAACCTCATACATCACCTTTTTACTTTTTCTGTTTCATTCCATTTGAAGAAACAAACTTTGAATTAAATAGTGGGATAAATCATCCTAGTTTTATCATAGACCCCTAATGATGGGATATTAGTTTTAATTGGATTGTTCCCCCCTTTAATAATAGAACCGTTGTATCATTAAGCAGCGAACTGAGGACTGGAATAAAGCTCCAGGTGATCTCCCAAATTCTATTCCAGGTCGGCAGTTTGACTTATTAAAATCCATTTATTCATAACAAAGTATTAATTTATCCAAACTTGGAAGAAAGAACCATATGAAAAGGAAAACTAATTAAAAAAATCAGCATTGTTGAAAACTTGGTGTTTAGGTTATTTTTCCTGACTTTGCTTTGTCAGGCTTTTTCGTGAACTTATAACAGTTTGTTCTACATTATATCATAGACTTTTCAAGGTACCTGTCCCTAATGCCAGATAGACTCATTACTCATACAAATCTGGGTTATAGTTTTATAGGAAAATTAATTACTGTGTGCTGGCTACATATGGCTAGTTTGTCAGCAGGAAAGCGTTAACATATTTTAAGGTGCTTTAATATAGGTATTTAAGCAGTCTTTTTTTCATACTCTTTTTCCTGCATGAAATGGTACATTAATGTGTGTTAGAGTATAAATGTATTTTGTTAATACTAATGTTTTGTGTGCGTCTCTAGAGAATTCCTCCTCATGTTTATTACAAAGTGCCGAACACCTGGCTTTCAGTTAGCGGTAAGGGCACTGACTGAAAGCACATGCCATGGGTCCTTTGTGCACTTTTAGGGAACTTGACAGGGCACTGGGGGTTGAACTTAGAGCTTTGTGCTTGCAGACAAGTGATTTGCCACTGAGTACATCTTCGGCATGTTTTGCTTTCTTTTCAACTAAAGTCTTGCTGGCTTGCTCAGGTTGGCCTTGAGCTTACGATGCTCCTGCCTCAGCCTGCTGAGTAGCTTGGATTATAGGTGTGTACCATCATGCCCAGCTACCATGCGCTCTTCTAATGGCTATCATTACACATTCTATAGGTGAATGCTCTTTTTTATATTTCACTATTCTAAAGGCCATATTAAGTCTAAAAGAGTCTTATTCATATTGCCAATGTACTATGGCTATCTACCCTTTGCAATTTTAAAGGCTTAAATTCCATGGGCTTTAATCCATTTGGTGACATGTAGTGGATTTTATGACAAATCAAATGATGATATGCAAAATAGTTGCTGTATAGATATATTTTTTGTACTAGAGTTATAATATTTAAAAAGAATGACTCATGCCTAGTAAGAATTGATACTCTAATCAGGCCATCCTTTATCTTTGTTCAACTTTATATTGCTTCAAGTTTAGAAAACAATTATTCAAAAATATATCTATTGTATTTACAGTCTGTTCTACTGTCTAGGAAAACTATTTTTCCTAAGCAGGGAAATGTGAAGACATTTTTTGAAGTCAAATAATTTGAGGGTAGTAAGGATGTTGTTGTGGACTTATTATTAACTACTTTAGCAGAGTCTTAGATTTTTTTTTTCTTGTATATACATAAATACATAACATAAATACTTGGCTGGATTGAATGTTAGGTATATGTTACATATTTATATTGCCAATGAAATGTTTCAGTCATGATAAGGATCGTGTCCATCTAATGTATTCTTGTGTATCTTCTCAGTTAATTCCTTAATGCTCAGTTTTTGTAAGATGAATAGGCTGGGTTATGTTGTTATTAAGGCTATGTCTATGTTATATTGTTGTCTAATAAGCTTCTGTATAATATACTCTTAAGTAGTCATTACTGTATTAGTACAAAAAACTGCCTTTTGACCAATCATGATTTTCATTATATTTGACAGCCTGTGAGCTACAGATAACATTAGCTTTTAGGATTGATGGCAAAGATGACTAATCTCAATTTTTAACTCTATTGTATTGTCATTTTTTGTCTGATTTTTCCTCAAACTGCTTTTGATTTTATAGTAGTTGAACTTTACGAATTTTGCTATCCCTTTCTCATCAGTCTGATTTAAGACTCAAATTCTGAAGGCATTTAGTCAAGGAATTTCTATCTAACGTAAAGACAGTGTGACTCAAACCTGTAGCAAGTGATTATTCTCCTTCCATGTAGATGGAACAGACAGAGTATTCTTAAAGATAGGTGAGAATATTTGTTCTTTTTGACTCCTTTGGCCCTTAATTCTCACCAGAGAAACCTGGTCTCCCAAACAGGGCTAGCTTTGCACATGAAAGACCTGTGGCTTCATCCCACTGCTGTCTCCCTGACTCCCGTGTTCCCCAACTCTGATTCTGCTGATTTAGTAGGTGTCAGGAGTCATTCTGCTTTCTGTGTTTCTGAAGAAAGTCAATTTAGTACAAATTGGGACCTATTTACTCTCCCTCTAGCACACACTGTTAGTCAGCAGGGCTTCTGAGGACAGCAATTGCTATTTGAAGAAAACAAACCCTCTAGACCTTTCTGAACATGTTTTAAACATGACCTGGTGTATTTCAGTGTTGAACAGGATTATTTAGAGTAATGATATGAATGCTTTCTAATTTGGTGCCTATATATCATAGTTTTTAAAATTCAGGGTTTTTTTTTTAAAGGGTGGTTTTATTACTTAAACTTTATTGTTTCATTAAAGCTTTCTTTTTATTGCATGCCTAAATTGTTAATTTTGTTTTTGAGGGATGACTGGATTTCTTACAAAAACAAGCAGGGATTTTCTCTCTTCCTGCCATCAGTTTCAGGGGACATATTGCTTCTTCGGTACTGTCATACCAATAAATCATCCCAGATTACTCGCAGTCATACAGTACTAAAGTATACCATGCATTTTAAAGGAAATCTGCTATTTTCTTTTCAATCAGATGAGCAATGTGAAGAGACTCCGACCACGGCTCAGTGCTATTCTCTTTAAGCTTCAGTTCGAAGAGCAGGTGAACAACATCAAACCTGACATCATGGCTGTCAGTACTGCCTGCGAAGAGATAAAGAAGAGCAAAAGCTTTAGCAAGTTGCTGGAACTTGTATTGCTAATGGGAAACTACATGAATGCTGGCTCCCGGAATGCTCAAACCTTCGGATTTAACCTTAGCTCTCTCTGTAAAGTGAGTTTGGTTTTGTTTTTTTAAGACACGTATTTGCCTGAACACTTAGTCTTAAATGTCAGCCCTGATTACATTATTTGAATATTTTTATTTTGATATGTTCATTATCAAGAACTTGAACTGAACCGTGAACTCCAACCCAGACTGAACTGAGCTAATTTACTCAACCTCTGAACTAAATCCAAATATTAATTTTCTCAGATCTGAAAATCCAATAGAAGGATTTTATTTAATAACAAAATTATATTGTAAACGTATGCTTTCTCAGAGCAACAAAATGGAACACTAAAATATTATTTAAACACAGTATTTATTCAGTTCAGACACCTGCATAGGATGGTATATATTGAGTATTATTTAAGGATCACTTAAATTTTTACATTTAACTATATAAATATGTATGTTTTTTATAAGCAGATCAAGAGAAAAACAAGATTGCTTTGTGTAAAAGCAAAATAATTAGGAATAAACATACCTCAGATGTCACTGATGATTTTAAAGTGTTTTTATATGACTATAATTTTAGATGATAAAACATTTAATAAGTTTGGAGAATTTTTTTGTTTGTATGTTCTTCCATTGGTTAAATTTTCTTACAGCAAATATATTCAGTGTTTCATAGAACAGCTTTTTCCTAAGGAGTGGACCATAGTAATAGTGCTTTATTGATCTGCTTACAACAAATTCTTCTCAGTTACACATCACAAGAAAAGCTTTCTCTTGTTCTTGACCTCGTAACATCTATACTCACTGATTAAGGAATTTGATTATTGCTATTGCCAGTTCGGTAGGGAGGGTGAGAAAAAAAGCTCAGTGTCAGCCTTGGGTTTACTGAATAGTTATTCTTTTGGTGACTGCATGCATTTTTTCACTCAGTTTCCCTGACCTAAGTCTTCCATTTGTATTAGACTTTGTGTGCTTTCCCCTCCCCCATCGCTGTTTTGTGTTTCTTTTCTTTGTTTGCATAGATTTAGGTATTTGATTAAGATGTCTGTTATGGCTAACACAATTCCTAAAACATCTTGCATATTCTGCACATTCACTGAGTTCTTACTCAGGGTGAAATCCTGTGCCAGATGCTTTATCAGATCATCTCTTTAATGTAGATGATTAATTTTTACCTGGCATACATGGATCTCATTTTTTACACATAAACCATTAATTATGATTAAATGTTTTAATGAAGCTATACAAATATTAGCTTCGTTTGTAGCCAAGTGAGGCTGGAGGGCTAGCCAGCTGCTAGAGGGCAGTGAAATACTCAGAGAAGAGTAGAAATTTGAGCTGAATCTTGAAGGATGGGCACATGTTCCATGAAGGAAAAGGTACTCTCAACAGGAGAAATTAGTTTTCATAAAGACTGACTCAAAAGGCATGAGTTAGTACCCTAAGTTGTCTAGTACCATTGGAAATTACACTAGACAGCTGTCAGGGAAAATAGCACTTAGTTTATTGTTTTAGATGGTGAAGAGTTTTGAGGCTAATGATGAAGACATGTTTAATACAGACATGTTCTGTAAGGCAAGTTATGTGATCCCATATTTTGTAGGAGGATAATCCTATCAGCAGTACAAAGTGTAAGCTCTCCAGCCAGTACTGTTGTTAATAACCTTTGTTTAAATTGATACTCATTAAAAATTAAAGAAAACTTTAAAAATTTAGGTCTAAAGTCACACTTGCCATATGCTAAGGCCTCAGTGTGTACATGTTGATAGCATAGGCAGAACCCAGTTCAATCATTATAGAAAGTTCCATTCTCAGGACTAAGTTAGAGGAATATAGGGGATGATTGTCAGTGGCTGACTAACATGTAGTATGTGACAAGGGAAATCAACTAAGAAGATAAGGAAGGGGAAGAGATCAAAGATAATTCCTTAGTTTCTAGCTTAACCAACTGGTAGGGGTACTGCTGCTGACATGTTTGGTGTGATTGTTCAAAAGGGAATGAATTCTGGGTGTCATTATTTTTCTCCTCTTGCTTATCGCAGCATCTTACAGGATGTGAGGTCAAAGCTGCTATATTTAATTACTTATCAAGCACTCAAATATTTCCTATATAACAGTCACTGTACTTTGAGATGAAGGCCTTCCAAGATAAAGCAGTGGTAAACGTGTTTGTGGTAAAGTAATTGAAGGGAAAGGGTAAAGTTAAGAGCATCGAGGGCATTGTCAAGGCATGGCACTTATGAGAGGCTAAGGACGACAGAGGTATGTAAGACTGCCGAATTCAGGATTCCCTGGGAAGAAAGCAGGGAAATCAAAGCAAAAGAGGAGTTGTAAGGCTGGGGAGATGATTCCAGGGCAGACTGTTTCCTAGTTCAAAATGTCAGTTCCATTTTAGACTTTGCATCTCAAAAATATAGTTGACTCACAAAATCTTGGCTGCATGCCCTCTTCTGTGCTTTCTCTACAGAGCTGTAGACTAGGGCTGATTAATGAGGTGAAATCCCCTAATGCAGTGCTCAATACATAGTAAATACTCAATAAGGAGCTATCAAATGAACGAAACTTGTTTCAGTAAACACAATGTGGTGCCTCATATTTATTTTGTAGTTGAAAATGGATATCTTCTTGATGAGGTACAATAACTGATGCATAGTAATTTTTTAGTCTTAGAAATGCAATTACTACAGTTAGTCTACAAACTAGTTTATCTGTCTCCAGATAATGGGTTGATTGTATTTTCATGCAACGATACTGGGTATTTTGATCACCTCTTTTAGGAGCCTTCTGTTGTACAAGAAATGAGATAAATATTACAACTTCGTATTTGTATTAGCCTACATATCAAGTTGAAAGCATATATTGAACAAGACGATATCTCATCATGTTTGTTATCAGAAGTGGCAGCTTGATCTTTGACAATCATGATTGAATTTTTCACACTGAATATAAATCATTTAATTTGTTGATAAGCCCCCATACAAGGAATTCTGTTTTTATTTGACAGTAGAAAGTCAGAAAAATAGTTTAATCTGTTGAAACATGTTGAACAAGTTATATGGCATTGAGCATTTGTATCTAAAATCCTTGTTTTTAAATAATCTTTAAAAATAATCTTTAAAACTAAAGCCCACATTTGAAAAAAACATATATAATTAACATTGCAAGTGTCACATTGCAATAAGTACATGAATTTTGAATCCCATATACATAGTTTAGTTTGAGAAGCTACATTGTATCTGTATGCATTTGTAATCAATTAACTCTGGTATCTCTGGAGAGAAAATGCTTACTTTTTTATAGTCCAAAGATGTGATGTAGAATGTGATAAATATAAAAGTAAATTATGATATAAGGTTAACATACAGTAGAATATTTTAATGAGATGTGAATAAAAATTAAAATTGCTACATTGATGTGGGGCCTTCTTGTGGTAAAACTACAGTGAAAAAATTTGCAATAAGCTTTTCATGAGCTAAAGTAGTGTTTCCTCTGATTACCTAAAGCTGAATATTCAAGAAATTTTCTACACATATTTTTCTAAAGGAAAACTGGTGTTAAACAGTTTCTTAAAGGCAACAATTGAAGAATCCGTTTCATATGGATATTTATTTTAGAACCATTCTGTTCTTCCCTCTTGTTTGTACCGAATATGTATTCAAGACCTCTAAAAGGCATGCCTGGCTCACAGGAAACCCTCGGGGTATAAAGTACAGTGAGAATAATGTTGCTTTTAGTTTAGGTGAAAGGCTATAATTACCTGGTCTTCTGATGGCTTGACTTTTTAAAATGATGAGCCTTAGAATAGAATTGAAATACTGTTTAAAATCCCCCAAAGATGTTACTGGGCTGTAGATAAATACTGGACAAGAAGCATTTTGAGATGTCTGTATATAAGATCTCAAAATCTTTCAAAAATGATTTACTATTGACAAAATATTAGTCTATATCCATGAAATTGCAGTCAGCAGGTGATATTTTTTTGACCAGAATGCCTACTAGAGAAAATTTGTATCTCAAAGTGTTGTAGGGATGTCTTCAAAAGAAGCCACAGGTAGGTCTTGGGTTTTTATCAAGTAGACCAGCATTCTGGCTAAAGAATGAATTGACCCAGCCATCAAAGTTCAACACCCTATTAAAATATAGACTCTAATTTTGACTTGTAATTTAAGGACTGATGTTACAAATGTACATAGTGGCTATAATGCATTTACTAATGTTTGTTTACGTCTAATGTAATGGCTTTCTGAGGCTCAGGTCATCATGATCAGTACAGTAGCATGATGTAGCTCTTTGTTCTAAATATTACAGAATCTCACTTCCTGTAACAAGATAATGATACAAATTTTGAAACAACTTACCAACTGTTTTAAATAAATTTTATCAATTTTTAAGCCAACTTATTATTTGGGAAAATTGCAGGAATAGATAACTATTGATTCCACTGTAGATTTTTTCCACATTATCTTTTTGTTGGGAGGCTTTCCATTCTCTATGGCAGTGGAACACTAATGAGTTCACTTCAAAGTTGAAGTCATCAAAAGATATGTAATATGGTACATAGAGGTTGTTGGGAGGCAGGTGTGAAGAAGGTGATAGGTGACAGGAAAGATTTATGCTTAGGCATAAATTTAGAGAATTTAGATTCTCTTTTGTGTATGGGATTTTCTGGGTATTTCTTTTATAAGCAAGGGCTATGCAAAAGTAAAGTAATCTTACCAGAGCTCTGATGAAAATGATTTAAAATGAGAATGCTGAATTTCTATTTTCTTTAATGTGTCTACCAACCATAGTATGTGAATGACCAAATTTTACAGCTTGTTTTTATATTACCTAATGTGCAAACTGGAGTATCTTTTTAAAAGTACCTTACCTCCCTTGTCAGTTCATTTAATTCAGGATCTTAATAACATTTTAAAAAGTGCTCTCCCAGGTGATTTTAATATTCAACCTACTCTGAGATGCATTTTCTGTCTTCTACTTACATATCCCCACATGAAAAATGTCTGACTGATGGTTTGCAACCAACTAACAAACAAACATAAAGAAATGAACAC